GTTGTGACGTGTGTGGGTCAGACTAAGCCTGAGGGTTGATGCCCAGAATCAGTCCTGAGACATTATATATTGGCTAGACTGAGCCAGAAGGTTGGTGCCAGAATCAGTCAAATACTATTTTTATTGACTCGAATGAGCCGTGAGGACAGGTGGTCCATAATCCGGCAAATGTGATTAAATTTTGTATGTTTGAATGGTACCGGGGTGGTACAGAGTACATTAGTGTAATAACTATGTCGGAGGATTCCGAATGAGGTCCCGGACTTCACGGATTGGTCGGGTCGGGTAGACTACGAGATCGGGTGGTGAGAAGTCGATGGGGGGATGACTGGTGGCGCGCTCGGAGGGGTACTCCGGTATGAGTGATGAAGGGCGCCGGTAATCCTACTCTGTGTGGAGGGTGGTCGGAATGGATGCTGCGGTACCGATCACAATGTGCCCACGAGATGATAGCCTCCGAGTTCGGGCATAGTTAGGGTATACTTCCGGAAGGTGTCTTAGTGTGTTGATAATTTCGTAATTGATCATAATATATAATTCTATATCTATTTTATTATATCGAATGATTTAATACTTACCCCTATTTTTCCATGTGAATGGGACTGCGATGATCACTTTTATGTGGGAGCAGATCAGGAGTTGAGAGATGGTGATGTGACTACTGGACAACAGGGATAGTTCAGTGGGATAGCTTCGAGGGAGCTACTGTTACATGTATAATGTATAAATAAATGATGTTACTATATTTTGAAGTTCCGTTAGTGAACTAGAATTTCAATATATGTTACAATTACAGTAATATAATGTAAAATAAATGTTGTTATTTACTTGTTTACTACTTTGCGAAGACATCATTATAGTAGCGATTTCTAGGGTCGTTACATTTCCTATATATTCTCTCTTGTTTTTTAATTACTTTCTTTTTTTCTTGCACTTGGTGCTTTAATTGGTTCCATCCCATATTGTTGGCAAAATGATCATAGTTCTCTCTTATTAGTTATACTATCTTTCCTTAGTTTATTTTATATTTTGAAGTTAGTACATATTTATATTCCTGTTTATACTGCCAAATTATGTATTTGCCCATAAGTTATAAAGTTACAGGGTATAAGTTTCCCCTAATGTTTTTCTATATTTATTTTTACCTTCAAGCATTGTGATTTAATATTTTATTATTCAATATTCTATTTTGATCTTGTCAATATTGGTATCGGTTACTATAGGTGTTACATTATTTAGTCCTCTTAGATCTAGATTTATAGTAGATCCATCTATTGAAGAATGTCTCGAGGATTGACCCTTATAGACCATTTGGGATTCTTTAATTCTTAAGGATGATGATTTATTCATTCTAAGTCTTATGTAAGTACCTTCTTGAATTATTTCTCTAATTTGGGTATTATAAATTTTTGGTTCTTCTATTATATTTTCTAATTTTCATTCTTCCGGTATATGATTTATTACTTCATTATGGCTTAATCTTTTTGGTACTTGTACAGATGATTTTCTGAGGTTGGCTTCTACCAATATTGTTTCATCTTTAGAAGATAATCTTAATGCTTTGTAATTATAATCAATTTTTGTTACCTTGTAATAGATCCTATAAATTACCTCTATTGGGCCAAATTCTTCATCTACTATTTCCTCAAAAATTTGTATATATAATTTTATAGCACTACTTGTTTTATCATTTTTTATGTTCATTGAGAAATTTGGATAACAATTAAAGAAAGCAGATCCATCATGTAAATTACTCTCTAATATTACAATTATTGAATCATTAAATTTTTTAAGACTTACATCTCTTAATAACATTAATATTGAACTATTTAATCCTATCTTGTAATTTGGTTTAGTCTGCTACTTGTATTAATCCTAAATGTATAAATTATATCTATTTTTAATATGTTGATCTAATAATGATTGTTCAAAAATATTTATTATTTTATTATTCTTTGTTCCTGAATAACTATATTCTACTATATGGATTTCATCTTGATTTATAGACCAAAATTTATGTTGTTTGTAGACTTCACATTTTTTAACTATGGGTATTGACCAATTATGTAATGAATTTTTTATATATGCAATCTATAGTTCTTTATCTTTATTATTTTCTTGATTAGAAGACAAGACTTCTTGTTACGGGGTTCTTACCACTATCTATTTATCTTTATTTCTTAATCTTAAATTACTTAAGGTTCTTAGAATTCTAGGCATCCTTACTCTTTCTCGGGTCTCCATGCTACTGGACCACCGTTACCAAGCTTGCTGACCAATGGTCTCACTACCTTTCTGAGGTCTTACTGCTAGGACCATAAACTCCTAGGGTTGACCAAACGTATAAACACCTTGTAGTGCTACACTTAGACCTCTAAAAGATCATAATTAATGTCTAGATCCTAATAGCTTAAAAAATTTTGGATTCTGAAAATAAGTATAAACTTATAATGGTTTAAACTTATGCAACAAAGTTACCTAATTCTTCTAGTTTTCTTTCAAGAAATCTAATATTACTTTTAAACCAATTAATATTCCAGAAGTAAACAACTTGAGTTATTATTTTTCAATTTTTGATTTGCTAGTTGTCTTCTTAATTTTCTTTTAAGTTCTCTAATTCTTTTAGTTAATTTTATGACTGGATTTGGACTAAAGATTGGACTCATACTATGTGGATTAATTCTAACAACAAGTCCTAGACCAGGAGGTGCAGGTCTTGCTAGTCTAATAAATTCTTCCATTATATCCCTCAAAGAAAATTAAAAAGAAGAATATATTTGGACAAAAATTTATTTAGATCATTTGGTTCTGATATCAATATTGACAAAATCAAAATAAAATATTGAATAATAAAATATTGAATCACAATGCTTATAAAAAGAAAACCATTTACTCCTACCAGCCTGTCTACCATCAGCTGACCCTATATCATCCAATGGACTTGCTTCTAGTAAGCATATCCTTTTATTATAACCTAATATTATATTATTCGATGTGTTTTTCTATTTTTTTGGGTTAAGGATAAAAATAAGAGAATTTGGATAGTTTTGTTTAAAACTTACGATAATTTTTAAATATTTAATTTTCAATTTATATACTTTGATTACGCTCAGCCTCTTGTTATTCTTAAAGTGATTCATATGTTTAAGCGGTTATGTCTTACTTGTATACGTGTTTTAATTTCAGTTGTTATTTTTAGTATAATTTTTCGTGAATAAATGATAGTGACATTATGAAAATTTATTATATTTATTTTCATTATAAAATTAATTATATTTCTGATTAAATAAGAAAAGAAATTATTAGACTCAAACCAATCACACTATCCCAAAATCTTATAATACATGAAAATTATGTCCATCCAATATAATATAGATAATTAAACCATAAATTATGAAATTATAGTCGCTATCGCTAACACTAAATTCGCTAACTTTAATATAAATAATAAACATAAAATTCATCTCAAAAATATTTTAAAATTAAAATAAACATGTTAGTATGATTATTTGTCATATAATATTTTTTTTAAAATAGATATTTTTTGTTTGGTTACATTTTCATTTTGAATTAGATTTTACTTTTAAGACATATTTTGAGGTTGCAATTATTTAATTTTTAATCGTAAATTCTACTATTAGTCTTATATTTAAAATATTCTCGATCACATTTATAATGAAATAAAAATATATAGTTAAATGAATGTCATATTATTTTTTCATTGTAGTTTCTTTGATGAATGAAAGTAAAGAAACCAAAAGAAATAACAAAATCTTCCATACAAAATAAAATTTAAAGGATAAAATAAATAAACTTATCTACTCAAACACTAGGTACAGAGACAAAAACTTAGTTGACTAGATAAGTTACAATTTACTAGCAGAGAGCTACACACTCATACAACACTTGCCTCCATTATAGCATGATTAAAATGAGACTAATAATACAAAACCTTAAAATGAAGGCATGAAAAAGTTATCTAAAGTATTGGATAAAACTAAAAAATAGGTTAAAAATTGTGACTTAAATTAAACTAAATTAATTCTAACTTAAGTTAAACTTATCCATAATACAACATCCATTTTATAAAAAAAATATTTTAATAAAATAAAAATAATATTATTTTATTCATATATTATAATTTATATATCAAATAATTATATCTAAAATTAAAATTAATTTCTTGATTAAAATTAAAAATAATTTTTTATTAAAAGTCATCTAATTGATTTATTTTTATTACTCCTTTAGATAAATTAATCAGCCCGTTAACCAATAAAGGATTCAGATAGAAAAAAAAGTTTTAAAATATAAAGCAAACTAAACTTATAATTTTAATTTATTTTACTTAATAATGAAAATTATCTAAACCGAATTGCATACATGATTTAGATGAGGCTAATATTGAAAAAAGTCTAACATGATTTCTGTATCTAGCACTTCAACAATGAAAACATAACACTTGAATTTAATATAAAGCATATTGAACATTTAAACTTGCACACCACTATAGTGTAACCACAGTGATGTGCCCGAAAACAAATTGCTTAAACAAGGTTTGTGTAAAATTTTAGTTATTTTTTAAGTAAGACATCGTATCAAACATCTCTTAACAGAGGATGGTAAATGAGATAACAAGATACAACAATAGATAAATGTATATTTACATGGCTCATATTTGTGTTTCCTATTTATATACACGGGAAACTGATTGTAATCGCTAAGGGTCAGCTTACCCAATGAATGGTTGATGAATGGGAAAATGTACAGCTTAGGCAAGCCATATCTAATAGAAGGCTTGTACATGTTAGTCCACCTTGAAGTTTCATTAAATTATGTTAAACTTGGATTTCACGTACTGGGGGATGACGTTTTTCTTGTATCAAGTTGAACCCACAATATATATGGCGTTCCCATGCATCTGACATATAAATGCCACTTCAGAACACCTAGCTAAGATCTTCTACAAGTATTTACATATCTTACCCGGAAGCATAAGCTTAGCCATGACATGCTTTTAATTTCCGCAAGAACTTTAACGTCTCCGTGTAGGATGGGTCTAAGCGGCTCACTGGTTTGCAAGAATTTATATGATCTGTTGATTCCAATACCTGTTTCATAGTTCGAAGATAAATCAGAAAAACAAACACTTGAACTGCTATAATACTACAAAAAAGAAAAGGTCGATATTGCCCCTTGCAACCGTTTCGAGTAAATCCTATCGACTGAATTGTCTCAATACAGTATTGACTTCTTGTATTGTTTCAAATCCTACTATATCATTTTCATTTTAATAAGAATCTGTCGAAAAAAGCTTATCTCTTTTGAAAATTAAAATAAGAAAAATGAAATAAAGTTTCACAAAAGCTAAAATTAATTTATTACTAATTTATGAATAAATTAATTTGTAAAAATTATTTATTATTAACTTTTCGAAAATCTAATTTTTGACTTAGTTGCAAACTAATTTTAACTTGCAAAAAAAATTATTTTAATGCTTTTTTTCTTATTTTTTTCACCTACAGGTGTTTGTAGTAACATTTATCTAAAAGGTCCTAAACAAGAAACCATTGTCAAAACTGTATATTCCCAGATCTTTATCCTATACTCTGTCCAAATCATTGTAAAAAGGAACCTTTTTTCGTGTCATAGTTAGTAGTTTTGCAGCTGGTATGCTGGGAAGGGTTGTGGGATGAAAGCCCAGAGCTCCATCTTTTGTGGGGTTACATAGCTTGGATGAAAATGAATTATTTGGACAAAATATTTTACTCTTCATTTCATTTTCTTTTTCTTATCAAATGAGATAGAATTTCACAATATACTTACGACTAATTCACCAAATCCAGGATATGCTGACTCAATTGGTACAATTTCTGTCCGAAAGGCCCATCCACCATAACCTTCAACAATTGGAGTTACCTTGGTCTGCAAAAAGCACTCACTGACTACTCAAAAAAACTCATGAAAAGTCATCCGCATGTATACTAGCAAATGGTTAACTGCTGATTACCTCACAAAAGCTGAGGACATCAAGCATCCCTTTCTTATGAAGGTGACGAACAAAGTCATTAAGCTCTATCAGTCTTGAGGATCCACTTCTTAACTCTCCAATCTATTAAACATTAAAACCCAAGAACTAAAATATCTTTCAACTGTAGCAATTATTATTAGAATAGGAAATACGTTAACCAACATCTACTGTTGAAATAGGGTAGGTAACTTCAAATACTAACTGTGGGAGCAGGACGAAGCACAAAGCCCATTCGCCAAGGCATATCTGCAAGTTTGCTACCAAAATGTGGGCAGCTATAAAAAACCTACAACCAAAATAACATATAAAAAAACCCTGCATTTTTTAAGCATATTTAACTAAGGAATCAATACTTACAATTCCTACTGTATTTTTCACAAGATTATCAAATCTTTCCTCCTTTGCTTTGTGAAGAATCTGCTTCACAACCAGACCTCCCATACTGCAAACAGTAGAAAAGCACATAAGCCAAACAAAATTCGGTACAGTTTGATAAAACAAATAACATGGTGAATAAAAGACATTTGAAAAATGCAATTTACAAGAAAGTATAAATAAATAAACAATTAATTTTTTCAATTCCCAAAAGTACTTCTAGGATAAATTATATACTAGAAAGATAAAAGTGGTTAAGCTGGTACACAAACCACAAAGATACTTGTAACCACTAGTTCATACAAAGTGACGTGTACGTCAATCACAACAACTCACTATAATTCTTGCCAAAAACAGAACAAGATAGACTACACACAGACAGACACTTGTAATAATCAACAGCTACTAATTTGTTCTGCATCCTTTTTTGCTACTTCTATTTCAAAGGTATAATTTCTCTTGTATAAAAATGCTTGTTTTTATTTTTATAAAAACATAAATCTGCTATGATTGTGAATCAATCTTAAATTCTTAAATTAAACCCATCCGTATATAATCACTAAGGAAAGTTACCTCAAGATTTGCCATGGTGCCATTGAAAGATAGGTTGAAAGAACTACGATTAAAATCATGGCTTAAATGAGTCAGTTTCTACAACATACCTACTTTTTTCTATTTTATTCCTTTTAATTTTTTAATATTGAACAATTTTTAGCATTTGTCATTGTCATTACATAGTTACTGTTAGCTGCTGGCGCGGCTAAAGATTCAGGGACTAAGGAGTTGAAATAAAAGGGGCATATTTACAAGGATTAAATTAAAAATTGTATAAGACGTGTCACTGCATGATAGACTGAGTGCACAAAAGTTCAATTTTAATTGCATGTGTAATGTGAACACTCTTAGGCAGCTAGACTAACCTGTGAGTAACAAAAACAACAGGTCGATTCCCAATTCCTGCAGCAACAAGCTTATCTAATAGCATAGAACTAACTTCCTGCAAATTTCAAAAGAGGACTGACAGCAGGTAAGTGAAAGGAAAGAAAGGTAAGGATACAAGAGAAATTGCCAACTGCAACCATGTGCAGGGAGGTATGTGGAAATTGAGAATTTAAGAATTTGATTTTAGATCTGTAAGTATATATTTTCAGAGAATTTTAAGAGCTGTACATGCTCATTATATGCAAACCAGAAACACGAAGTTTTTTTTTTTTTTTTAACAGTCATTTAACACCACAGGTTAAAACTTAGTATGATGTCTAGATTTATCTTTTCATAAAATGGTAATATTACTGTAATGGTACTTCGGCCTCAGGCAAGAGGATGCCGAAATTGCAATTTGCAAGTCAGTGTCTGATAATGCAAATCCAGAATGACTGTAGCATTAAAAATGATAATTCTCTTTAATCCTTAACAAGGCTCATACAAGATGAAGAACCCATATCCATTTTTACAAATCCAAGAATCGAAACTTTCCAAATGACTAAGAAGCAGAGCATGGTAGAGAAGTAAAAGCCAATACTGTTTCTAGATAATAAATAATGAGGTGTTTTAAACTCGTAACCTGAAGAGGCAAGCTAGCTCCAGACCACTGTGTGAGATTAGTCTGCATAAATCATTTTCATAGAGAGTTAGATGAAGGTAAAGAGAATCACCAATGAGACAAGCTCTAGAAAAGATGATAGAACTAACATAAAAAAAGGAATGCAATTCATATTCAAAACATCTCATCGTACTAAGGCAAATATGTCCCAAATTTACTAATGCACACCTTGTATTTTAGGGTGAACAACCGAGCTTCAGGAAAATCACTGGAAAGCCATTCACCAGGCCAAAAGGTTCCAAGCTTTCCTGCTTCCTCATCAATCTTCTCCACCAAATGTGATGAAGTTGAAGATTTTTCCTCAGCTATTCGCCAAGTTTTGTAAGGCCCACCGCGGAGTCCATGGACAAAAACTATGTCTAATGGAGGAAAATTTCTATCTGGGTTGTTTTTAGTTGAATCATTAGAAACAGAGCAGATGCTGTCATTCAAGGATTCTGTTCCATTGTCAGTAGCAGTAGAAGTAGCCAGAGATATCACATTCGAGAAAGATTCTTGTTCATCTGTTTCTTTTGGGCATTTCCAGTGGGGAAGATGAGAATTTATCAAGAATAACATGTCATCATAACGAGGACATGAGTTCCTATAATTTTTTACACCTCCATCAGAAGGACCTCCACTTCCACTCCTTCCATTAGGCTGGTCATCGCAAAACATATTTAAAAGTGCTGCCCTGGCATAGCTTTGCATTTTAAGGTCACTGCAACCTGGAATCCTCCCATTAGCACAATCCTCTAGCCATTTGCACCAGGTTTCATCAGCTGTGATGACCTTCTTGACTTTGGGAAGCAGTGAGAGGATGGTCAACAACCGAGCTGCATGCTTACGGATATGAGCAGTGGGTGGAACTCGGACACTAGCTGAATCATGTACATCTGATATAAACGGTTTCCCATCTACATTTGATATCCGTTCCTTCCCCTCATGTGCTCCAGACGATGCATCATAAGCCTCAATAGCAGCCAGTTTCTCATAATCATCACTCAACAAATAGCGCCGCAGCAAGCATAAAATCCCAAAATCAACTATCATGTCCTGACATACAGAGTCTTCAGCACAAACTTCAGTCAGAGCTTTAATTCCTTTCAGTGTTGCCATTGCAGAATCTGCAGCATCTAATTTAGGCAGATTATCCTTTTTTAAATTTTTAAATGGCCCTGCTAAAGGTTCCAGAGATAGAAAATCTGCCATTGCTGATGCATCCCCAGAATTAGATGCAATTCCCATTTTTTTGGCTGCCAGAATAACAACAGCAGTGGATAGTTGATTGGCAACTTGTACAGCAGAAGCAATATTTGCATTATTGATTAATGTCTGCAAAAAGTTAATGCAGCTAAAATGCGCATCAAAAGTAGACTTGAAATAGAAGTAGCATAATCAGATATAATGAAAGGTTATTTAGATAGAATGAGAAAGAAAAAAATTTGCATACATACCTTTACATTATCACTTTTTGGTTCACTGGTTCCTTTATCATTTGATTTCTTGATAGAACTTTGCACTTCAGATAGAATCATGGCTAACCATCCTTGAGAAAGTGGTACAGATGTTGGTCCATAGTCTTCCAAGATCTGAGAAAGAATCTTTATGGCTGAAGATCGTATAGTATCAGAGGAAAATGTTCCAAAAACCCAAGGTAGAAGAATGCCTGACCATTTTTGACTCTCTTCAAGAGACAAATGCAACTCCCCAGTACAAAGTAGCTCTAATGCCTTTGCCATTGCTTCTTGCACCTGCTTATGCTTTGTCATCTGCTTGGTGATGTCTCTCATTGGGTTAAGACCATTCTCCATCACTATCTTCTGTACTACAGGGCTCCTTTCAATAGATAAGAGAAGGGCAGAGAAAGCAACATTAGCCAAAGAAACATCTTCATGCTTGCATGCCTGAGATATAGTAGAAAGAATACTAGAAGCCCATTCAGAGACAGAATCATTCAAAGGTGTATTGCGATCTTCTAATAGCAACCGCACCACCAAACTTGCATGCCATTTTACCAATCTCTCAGGTGCCATTAAAGCAGCCATGACAGCATGTCCATCTCGATCCAGTTCCTGAATATGAGATCTATTCAACTGTGATGCTGTTGCCCAATTTGCTAATGCCCAGGTGGCAAAAGGTACAGCAACATGTTCACAGTGCAAATCATCCCAGAGACCAGGAACAACAGCAGAAGACACATTCTTTTGTTGCTGCAAATTGTCATACTTATTTTGATATATGATAGTTTTAGGAGTTTGATGTTTCAATGCTTCATTATAGGAATCAGTGGTGGTCCTTGAAAGCCCAAAAACAGGGGTACCTTCAAGTATTTTGAATCCAATCCCATTCATTCCTGTTCCACCACCATCATCTTCACCTTCAGGTGGCTCATCCAAGTGCAAACCCCCTTCCTCAATTACTTGTAGGGCAGCAGCAATGTCTCTGGTCTCAGCATTTCCAGGCAATGATGGATTAAAAAATACATTTTCTGTATTGTCACAGCTGGACGTAACGATATCCATAATGGCAGCCACAAGCATGCTCCTGCCTTTCAAAGAATCAGAAATATCAAATGCACTACGTCTTGAATGCTGCTGCACAAAAATTTGCATGATGTCACCAATGCCAGAATCAGAAGGACACAATCATCAACGTCACAGTGAAGCTTGCATTTATATAATATATCTAGAATAGCCGCAACACTAAGAAAACAATATTTATACTCCTACGCTCACTTCCCCTTCCATACTATCACATTTTTTTCTTACTCTCCCTTTTCTTTTTAATTGCTCTCTTCTTTCCACCAACATACATCCCCCAAATTGGGAGTACGTTCATCACTACTCCTAAGAAATACATGTTAAAAACAAAACACTGATCAGATTTTAGCACGCATCATTAAAAAACGCAACAACAACATTATGTTGTTAAACAGGAGATGTGATATATACAAAAGAACAGTCATACACTTTATTCTACGTAACCAGTGCAAGAAAAACAGTTCAACAGGCAACTCCTAGTATTAGAAGTGGGATTTCATCACCTAGGATTACATACAACTTCAAAGTCTGCTTAAAAAATATCCTCAAGGAATAAGTAAACAAACTCAATGCATTTAATGAGAAGTACATCACTTAACATATTCGCAACTGAAATACACTTTATAATTCATTTAATCCACCCAATCATTTAAAAGATTAAACCCTATTTTTGAGACAAGAGGATCTATAATCAAGCACACTAGGAATAAAGTCCAATTGATTGCTAGTTTGCAAATGCCAATGCAACAAAATCGATCACAACGACTCTCACAGAAAATGCAATTCACATAAAGAATCATTCACCTTCTTATTCTTAGAACGCCGAGGCTGGCACGAGAAGATGAACCGCAGAAGATTTGGAACCGCGTGAGGTCTCCCAAGCACCACCGCAGACACGTTAGGGTCCGCAATCAGATAGGCGAGCGCCCTCGCGGACTCCGCCTGAGTGCCGCCGCCGCCGTCCTTCGCCACGGCCTCCAGCAGCCAGTCCACGACGCCTCCTCCGCCGGCACCGACGATCGCGGCCCTGCGGTAGGAGTTCGCGGACGCGATGTCGGCGAGCAAGGCTGCGACGCGAATCTCGAAGCCGGAGCGGACTTCATGGTTGGCTGACGACAGCACCGAGCAAAGCGACTGCCAGAGGACCGCGGCGGCGACACCGGTGCGTCTGGCGTGGTGGAAAATCCGGTCGAAGGAGTCCGCAGCCGTGCGCGCGGCGTGCTGGGCGCCCGTGTAGAGAGGATTAGCGGCCCGGCTATCGGAGTCGTCACGGACGTAGTCGGAGGCGAGGAAGGCGGCGGAGGCGAGAATTGCGGCGGCGGATAGAGCGACGACGTAAGCGCGAGAGGAAGACTGCGGAGAGATAGGAGAGAGCGGTTGGCGGTGATCGGTGATTGGTGCAATTTGAAAATTCTCTTCGGTTTTATTGGTTGAATTGTTAGGTTTTCTTGAAGAAGAAATGCTGCGAGGAAGATTGCAGCGAAGAAGGGTTCGGGTTCTGTAACAGATTCGAAACATTTTTTTAAAATTATTGAAAATAAGTGGCGTAGGTATTATAGTCAATGAATTTGCGTTTCGCGAAGAGAAGAGAAGTGGTCGATTTTCTTAACTCGTATCGAAGAAGATTTAGAAGATGGAAGCGGCGAGCATGGCGGGAGCATATCTCGCCCTTGTTACATGGATGATATTCAATTTTCTATATAAAGAAACTTTCTTACAGGAATATGCTCTGGAACGTTTTGGATTTTATTTCTCTGTCAACACAAGACGTGAAAGATACAAAGAGGGCAGTTTCTTCTTACACCCCTGTCTATTTAAAAAAACAGTAATATTCATGAGACCAGAGATTCTTGATAATTTTTTATTTATTTTTTGGAAAATTTATTATTATTTATTATTAATTTAAAAATAATAATTTTATTAATAAAAAATATAATAATATTATAATATTTAGATCAACATAAGTCACTTTTATAAATTTGAATTACAAGCCTCCAAATCAACTTTAACAATAGTAAAACTCTTATAGCAAAGATCATGAAATACACTTTGAGTTTGATACATATTTATTGAAATATTAGAGTTAGAAAAGTTTAAATAAAAGAAGTTAAGGGTTTAGAAAACAAATATTTCAAAAGAGAGCTTACAAAAGGAACGATTTCATAAACTAATGATAAATATTTTAACCGAGACAACATTTTCATGCAAAAGGGTTTTTTAACATTTGAAATTTTTGTATTTTCTCTTCATCTTCTTCTAAAGTACAATGGTTAACAACCTCATTGCAAATATTTATTATTCTTGGTGGAATTTTTTTTTATTGAAATCTTCTTAATTTTTGTTTCTTTTACCTTTATTTGATTTTGTCACTTTCTACTAACAATTTGTATTGATCTAACTTTAATCACATAAATCTTTGTTATAAAGATAACGATTCCATTCATTACAACTTTTATTGAAATCCTTATTGAGTACTAGTATTTGCTGATATGGGTTTGGGAGTATTTCCTCATATTTGTCCACATAAACTAATTTTACTAAGATTTTTTATTTTTGTGTTAAGAGTATATTTTTTCTTTATCATTTTCTTGAAGGGGGGAGAAATTTTACCACCTTGATTATTTTTTAACACATAAAACTATTGAAATTTTTTGTTTTAAATGACATAATATTTTTGGTGATAGAAGTGTCAACCAAATAATACCTAATATCCCATTCTTTTGAAAACTCTAGAAAATGTATAAATTTCAACTATATGTCTTTGTTTGTTTTCATTAATTTACTGGTTAAGCAGATATAATAACGAATGAGGACCATGTTTGTTTTAAATGATACACAAGCATTTGAAGGCACAAATTGGAGGGAATGATGAAATGGAAGTTCTTCACAGAGGTGAGAAGATGAACAGAGAAATACACGTCATCATTTATAATTTTACACAATTACCCTTTCTATTATCAATTTCACTATTTGGATGACAGATGCATGCATGCAAGATTCCTTTCATAACAAAGATTTCTGGCCACGCACAATAACAATTCTCTGCTTGGTGGTAGTTGGTTCCTGCAAAAGTTAGTTATTTCTGAAGTTGCCCCTTGGTGAGGTAAGTGTACGAGTAACTGTTGAGAGTACCAATTATTGTTGAAGGAATTTATTCTCTTTGTCCACACTCCGATCTTCCCGCCTTGATGGCTAGTGAAAATTTGACACCAAAGTTACTATGATTTTGACCAATCCATTACTTGATTTGAAACTAGTGAAAATTCTTGAGATGCTTCCAAACCCTTAAGTTCTTGTTGTCAGAGCCCGTGTATAACAAGTATCCATAAATGATCAAGGAATATTTGTGACTCGTTTCACGGATGAAGGATCTAATGAGGCCATTTCAAGGATATCGTCTTCATAGTAGTTTTTGAGTTCACTAAAGAGATTTATCACAGGTGAGGTGGGTAGTAACCATGGAGACTCACTAAGAGGAGAAGAAATATTAGGTTATGTTTCGTCTTAGAACGATAATGCCCCAGCTTCATGTTCATTATGATAATATCGTTAGGACAATTCCCATGTCTGAGGTATTGTCCGCTTTAGAGCTCTCGTCTGTCAGGATTTTGTCCTTAAAAGTTTCTTCGGTGGGTTTAAGAGATGAGGGTATATATACACTACCATTGACCTCAACTCCTAAGCAATGTGAGACTCATAAGCATATCGGAACATAGTCCCCTAATCGAGGACTAAGGGATAGGAGTGGAGCGAGACTCTACTCTCAGCTCAACAGTAGGCGTCAATGTTCCGTCTAGGAACGAGAGTATCCCGACCTCATGTCCACTATGATAACATCGCTAGAATTAATTTTCATATCTGAAGTATTGTTCTTTTTGGAGCTTTATATTTGTCACGGTTTTTTCCATAAAAGACGTATATGTGGATTACTAGAGAAGAGTGTATATAAACTATCATTGACCATGAATCCTAAGTGATGTGTGACTCATGAGCGTACCGGAACAAGTTGGTAATTCCATGGAGACATAATGCAAGGAGAGGTATTATTACTTCTATCGGCAGGGTTATTGTGGCAATTATGACTAAAATCATCATCATCTTTGTGGAAAAGTTATACAAGAAGGACTTGGAATGCAATAAGACATCATATATTTACGTTTATGAAAGGTGTTACATGTATTTATGTGCATTTGTTATGCATGTTATTCTTTTGAATTTAAGAAATATATTGTTATTATTTATCAATAATGATATTAAAAATATATTTTTTGGAAATAAAATTTAAAATGTTTTTTCAGCACATATATAATTTATTTTTTTGGAAGAAGAAATTAAAATATTACATATGAAAATTAAAATATATTTTTTATTAATAAAAAATAATAACTAAATTTTTGTAACTATAGAAACTAAATAAGTATTAATTATAAAATTATTTTCTTTTATTATTTTATTATAAAATTTATTTGAAATTAATTTTCACCAATTACATTTTAGTTTTATATAATTTCATAAATTTAATTTTTTTTATTTTAAATAATAACTCATATTTCATTTTAACATAATTACAATTTTATCAATTAAAATATTTTTTTAATCTATAAAACCAATCATATCACTCCTAAACTTTTACAAACTTTCTTCATATTTCCTTTCACTTCTTACCAACTTTCCCTTAATTTAATCTCATTTTTACCTTTTTTTTCTCCTCAAATCCAATTATTTCCACTTCGCTAAATTTATCTTCAAATCCAAACACAAGTAAAGAGATATACATTAGGATATGAAATCCCTTCATTTCTTTATTTCTTTGATTATAGTGTTCATTCTTGTGACGAAGTTGGAGGATTATTCTCTTAATCTCTTGAGCACACTTAATTCTTATATTAGGAACAAAATAGAATATGTAATTTGTTAGTAATACAGATTAAGATCAAGAGGGGGGTGAATTGATCTTTCAAAAACTTTTACAAAACTTTTCCAGATTATCAATCAAAGAATGAATCTTTATTAATATCAATTAGCCGAAATCACAAGCAAAGAAATATGAGAAAGAAAAGATAAAAGAATACCAAAATTTTTATACTAGTTCACCCAATCCACCTGACTACTTCTAGTTCTCCACAATTTTCAGTTGAGTTCCACTAATCATTGTTATCTTGATTACAATATTACAGCTGATAGAAAAATTTATCTACACCAAGAACTATAACTAGTTCTTGAACATGCAATCACTACTTCCAATTGCACAACCTGTGTCCAAGACTTCCAATTGCACAACTTGTGTCCAAGACTTCCAAACACTTCAAGAATAATTGCAGAATTATAGAAAGACAGATTACAAGAGACAAAACAAAATTGTTGTAAAAATCCAAACTTAAGTTAAGATACTCCAAAGCTAAAAACAAGAATGCCTCAATCAAAAAATTTCACAAAGGTTTTGAACGAATAAGATGATCCTTTTACTCAAGAATATTTGTAAATGATAACTAGAATGTATTCTCAAAGTATATTTTATTTGAACAAGCACTTCTGTCTATATAGGAGTGATTGGAGAAAAAAAAACTATTGTTTTTAATCAATTAAATCATCTTTTAATCGATTAAAGTAATTGAAAACAATTAGAAGTAAATCTTGTTTAAGTTGTTTTAACTTATGTAAATCTGAATTAATGAATTAAAATAATTAGACGAATTTTTCCAATGACGATTTATTAAAACATATGTACCATTTTTTTAGTTTCGTGTTAAGAACATTATGTTAGATGTTTCGAGGAGGCTAACAACAGGGAGATTCTCACAACTGGGACCCGAATCAACCATATAAGAGAATATGAGACTACCTTTAACCCAAAACCTTAAGGCATTAGGTTATGAGATTCTCACAACTAGGACCCGAATCAACCATATAAGAGAATATGAGACCACATTCAACTCAAAACCTTAAGGCATTAAGTTATGAGTCTTTCTCACTTATAAGTTACTCAACATTCTTATTTCTACCCAATGTGGGACTTCAAATTCATACTTGAATTCTCAACAATCTCTCCCTCAATTGTGATTCCCTCTCACATTGGTGCACCTCCTCCTCTAGCGGAAGCTTTAATAGTTACCTTACTTGTGCCATTGTTCAACTCAACGAGACTCGTTTGCCTCAAACCCATATTAGAAAGACTTTCGATACAAGGATCCATAATATAGGATCTTTCACCACATGAACCATTGGTTCTGATACCACTGTTGGGCCTTTCGAGGGGGCTAACAACAGGGAAATTCTCACATATGGGACCCAAGCCAACCATATAAGAGAATATGATATCACCTTCAACACAAAATCTTAAGGCATTAGGTTATAGGTCTTTCTCACTTATAAGTTACTCAATATTCTCATTTCTACCCAATGTGGGACTTCAAACTCACACTCGAATTCTCAACATTTTAGCATATTTAAATTACAATTAATTGATTAAAATAATGAACTTTGAAATCCTTTTTATGTTTAAAAATGTGAAACAGAAA